ACCTATATAATTTATTGCTATGTATTTACTTAGGGTGTCGCAACAGTAGCTTTTGAAATGCCTATAGTTTGCGTAATTTCACTTTCAATCCAGCTGCATTTTCAAATTAGAACTGCTTTCGAACCTTTCAGAAAATCTCTCTGCCCCTCATTTATTGAATATATTTATCAGAGATTGATGATGGACACAAAGATATTACCCGGAACTTTGAAAATCGATTCCATCTTGACACGGCTGATTTCGCCGTGCAAGCTTCAGATCTTACGTAACTACATTATTTCTGAAAATTTTACTTTTAATGTAGGTCTACTTACAATAAAGTCGAAACAGTCTGTCGTTCTTTGCTTCTAAGCACTTGTCCACATGTATGCTGTACGAAACTGCTGTTTTCCTGAAGGACTTTCTCTTCTGGGGCCGGGGGGGGGCACGCGGCAGCGTAGTTGGTTGGGGCCCTATGCTACAAGCCGGAAGGTCGCAGATTCAAGTCCCGATGAGGTGGATTATTTCAATTTACGTAATCCTTCCAGCCGCACTATGGCCCTGGGGTAGACTCAACCTCAAGCAGAAATGAGTACCAGGATTCGTCCTGATGGATAAAGGACGGCGTAAGGCTGAAAACCTTACCGCCATCTGTGAGCCGATTGTCTAGAGAAAATGTAGCAGCCTCGACGTCTCACAACCACATGGGCCTTCACGGCCTGTAACAGGGATAGTTATATCTTCTGGGACATAGCACCGTGTAGCCCGTTGAGAGCCAACCGACTTTTCGGAGGAATATGTCGCATCCATCTTCAGGATCGAAGAATAAGGAAAGAAAGAAGCCAGCGCGAAGCAGGCCGTAATGATAAATCTGCTTTTAAAGGACTACACTGCGTTATATCCCAGAAGATAGAAATATTCATAACCACCGCTGTGAGAACCTCAAATCCTACATATTGTTATCCTTTTTTTAGTAATGTTACTTCATAGTACCACGGCAAGAAAGAATATACAGATAATAATTTTTAGCGCACTGGACGGACTAAATTAGAATAATCGACGTCAAAGAGACTCTGGTATACCTAGCAAGTAAACCCATGACAAATCTGTAATTGGACCTACGCTGTTATTATAGAAATGTTGCTAAACTTTCGTCCAAATGAGCAACCTGTGAATTGATTCCACTGCTTACGTTAATAAGACTTTACAATCCGGTGGCGGAGGAGAGAAACGGGAAATCTGGCTTCTTATGGGCGGCGCCATTGGACATCAAAGCACGCGACGGTCGGATAGGTATAATCAACAATGATATGTGAGGGTGCGAAACTTCTTCTTTCACCTTCTAAGGATAAATATTTGAGTACAAAACGCTGAGAAGAGTATTTAGACTTAAGAAAACGAGAAACCTCGAGGCTTGAATATAGATGGGAGAATATTAAAACGGATCTTAGGAAAGAGTGTGTGAGGCTGTGGCTTGGATCGAACTGTTTCAGGATACGGTCTAATTCGTAACATGGTAATGAATTTTCAGGTTCCAGAAGACAGAAGAACTTACTGGCGAGCTTCGTAACTGTGAATTTTTAAAGAAAGGCCGTGAAGTTAATTAACCAACGACATATAAATCGAAATACTGGTAGAAACCAACAACAGCAGAAGGAAAGTTTCTGCTGCTGTTGGTTTCCTTGTTCTTATTTCTGGACTATGTTGACAGAGGCGAAAACTTCCTCCGAAAAGTAGACTGTCGTCGAACTACACGGTGTTACAACGCTTAAGACCGTAATATCCAGCTTTACCACTAATTTTCATATTGTTGTAGTGTGTCTAATACAGGCCTACTGTAAGTAGCGAATAGCCAGTCGACTTTAAGCCCATTAACCCACAATCCATTCAAAAAGAGACCGTGGAAAAAGTACTTACTAGAAATAAAGTTTGCAGATCTAGTAATCTCCTGTGTTCATACCTCAAACGAGACATCTCAAAATCTTGATTTTCCTATGGTCTTCACCCCACTGTGTTGTGTTTCACAAAATTTAAATGAATTCAAAACCATGTTATATTTTAGCGTCCTGTTGCACTGATTTAAGTTCATGATTTGTTTATTCCGNTCCGAGGCCGTAATTCGAAACCAGGACTTGAATATGAGGAAATCCTGCCTACGTACAGGCGGAACATTAACAGTCAATTGTGAGAAGACTTAAATTTTCTTACTCCTATGATTGTGCCTTGCTGTACCCCTATCTGGAAGAAGAATAAAGAGTGAGGACTTCAGAGCCAAAGGACGAGAACGGTGATGTCTTCAATTGGAATTAGCACAATTTCCAGATACGAATTTTTACTTCAACGTACGTCATTTTGAGCCTTGATGTTAATGTAATTTATTCAGATACAAATCTGTAGTTGCAAAGCTAATCACAGAACAAGTAAAATTGTATTAGTCATAAATCATTTTTCTTGTATCTCATTACATATGTCAGAGACAGACAAACGAACTATTTAGGAGAAAACTAATATAGTTAATAACGATTTGAGCTTCTTGTGAAGTAATGGTTTGTTAGATTCTTATGGATCAAAATGAAACAACATTCAGTACAAGCAGACTTCACTACCCTACGTCACTGAAACCCCTTGAATAACTCGGATAAGAAATGTGTCAAGGCATGAACACATCCCTTTCAGAATGCGTTCTTTCAACTTGATTGCAGAAATACAAATCACGTAACGATGAATGAGCTGATAATTTAAGATTACTGAGTTTCTGCATTTTGCGAATGCTTTTGTACTCCTATATATTAGAAGTGCAATAGACTGACATCAGAACTCTTTATGAATGGTTAGTCTTACGATTCTGTTTTAAACGATATAAGCAAACACAAATTCCAATGCTTCTGGAATAGAACTAAGGCCATTTATGGCTACTGAAACATACTATTTAGAGGTTAACTGTTATTGCAGGACTGATCCCTCGTCTAGTTAGTGTATGTGAACGTCTCTCTAAGTTGTAATCTTAACAGGCTATCTATCGTCTCTTCTAAAACTTCCCTCTCATTTCTCCATAAAGGGCACTAGCTTTTCGTAAGATAAACCGTGACCTCCATGAGCTACATTCTCTTTTTCCACCGAATGATGTGGGGATATATCACAAATATTGAGGTCACTAAATGGTATGAGACAACGAAAGTTTTCATTGACAGAAATAAACTATAAAATTTCGTCAATAATTTGCACCCTACTTTTATATTGGCTTGAAAGTTTGTGTATTTTTTCTGGAAAAAAAAGGGGGGGAACATTACGCAGGTCAATCGAATTCTCAGCCATTACTTTATTTCTATCCGTTCAATTAGGATTACGAACTCTTTAAGACTGTTCTACATAAAATTCTTCCAAATTTTCGGTGTCAAAACGCCTCTCTGTGAAATACAGCCATACGTTATTTAACAGCAATATATCTGAAGGTATGTATTGTCGTATGAGATAACAGGATGATTCTGACCTGTGAATGGTGAAAGAGAGTGTAGGAAAGGGTGATGACATTTTTAAATGTACTGTCCGTTTTTCGTCATATATTTCAATTTTCAGCGTGATCTAAAATAAGCAGATGCTTTAACGTGACTGCTTTTTAACTGATCATTTCGATAATCCATTAGAAAAAATGAAGAAAAATTGGAAAAGAGATAACTTTGAAGGCCTAATAAGAGTTTCATATTTTTCGAATGTCTGTCGCTATGTATCATTTCAAAGTCCTAAATTAAGTGTCAACATCATCGCTTCCTCCTCAAAATGTCGGCGTCCGCCATGTTATTACTATTCATTTCAGGAAATCGGATAATAAAATTTGCCTACTAGTTTGTTGAAAGTCGATCATCTTGTTCGAGAGCTGAAACGCAGACAAAGACAGGCAGCATAGTGATCTCAATAACCTAAATTCTTCCCCCTTAAGGAAAGAAAGTAGGTTAAATAGTGTCTTCCTTCGTTGTCCGTGTACTTGTAGTGACAAAAGAACTGTGTGTAGAAAACATTAAGGGTCGTGCTATATACGTTATTCACTCTCACTTTCCAGGTGTTTTGGTTGCGTACTGGTCAAAACAATGCTTAGCTGATATTGTGGGGGTCTGTCGCCGCATCTATCCTTCATACATTGGATAGCGGTAGAGGAGGGGAAATCGCATTGAACCCCAGATCCTTGCAACTCCGAAATGTCTGACAACTGAAATTTGTTCCTGTGCTCTTGTGGTTAAGTTCGATTGCTATTGTCAAGTGTGTGTCGTTTTGAAGTATCTTTGATTCAATACCACATGAAGGCTTTAATCTGTGCATTTACAATGTAAAACAGTTCTGTCCTTCGTGTCTTTCCTTCCTCCCTGATTGGTGGTTATCACCATAATCCTACTATAATTTTGGCATGATGCATAATGCAGTCTCCAGCGGGTTTTTTTTTTTCACTAGGAATCAGTGCAGTTTGGTGCATAAAACGATTTAGTGATGTTTAGAAGACTTAGCACCATTCCACACGACAGTGATAAATGATACAGTGCATGCGTGATACCATATACTTCGGTTCCCAAAAGGTGAATTTAATGAAAGCATGAATAATTTAGTGTCTGTTCCTTGCAGTGCACTTTCGTGTGGTTTAATGACTTAAAGAGCCTTGTTATTGTTCACATTATACATTATTGTATAAGATTTTTACGAAGAATGTATGCAGGCGATTAGTCTAATACCTATAGTCGTAAATACAAGCATTAAAAGAATATGATTTAAAGCAATCTACACAACCGTAAGTTCAGAAAATTTAATTTATGTAAGAGGAGTGACTAGAATTTATAATCTTTATGGTATGCATGAACTTAATTGTTGTGTAGACTGCCTCAAATCATATTCTTTAAGTGAATTATACAAAACAAGATGCATACCATAAAGACTGCACGCATTAAATACATTTTTAAGTCATAATAAAGAGTTACATTACTTCTGTACAGCTTATTGTAAGGACAGTCCTGTAGAAGAATAGATGATTTCCTTACCTGATTACGTATATATGACGATACAGTCGTAACAGTTCTGTTTGTACACTATAATAAGTAGTGTACAATGTGACTCAGAAGAACTCTATTCTTTGCAAAGCTCACTGCCCTTTTACCGGATGGTTGATAACAACTGATGAAGAATAGAGATTAAAATATTCTGATGGTTCTGTTTAATTCTCATTGGTCTGTAACGTTCCTTGTCTTCTTATGTTTAAATGGATAAATAGACAAGAACCGTGATTCTCTGAAATGCGTTGAGCACGTTGCCAACCTTGCTTCTCTTTGTTGAAGGCCATGAGAACTTACGTCATAACGTGCATAAAGTAAACGTACTTGAACCGTGACTATTTGTGATACGTTAGCGTGTTACCAACCTTCCTTCTCTTTCGTAACATCCTGCAGAAGCGCATGTGGATTTACGGAATAAATTTTCCCTTAGTGAGGGGTGGAGTCCAACTGGGTCCACTCGTCACGGCGGCCAGTGATTTGCCTATTGTAGCCTGCCTTGGGTGATTATGATGATTGAGAATTTGGTGGAATGAAGATTGGTAGGGGAATCCGAAATACTTGGAGAAAACCCGCCCCAGCGCCACAGCATAATATAATGGTCTCTATTCTTCGTGATCCTCTGTCAGTCTTATCGGTTCAGGTTAATTTCTACCCAGTCTTTTTTTTTACTGGCTCTATAGTCCCCTTAGGCCCTGGCCTCTGATTTTTCAGTTTTATGATAATTTTAGAGACGGTAGGGCTCCTTAGACGAGTGATCAGCTCGTCGCAAGGCCTCTAACTAAACACAGATAAAGAATAAACACATACACATATCAAGCATCCATGTCTTGTGTGGAATTCGAACCCACGATCCCGTCTTCTGAACGAGCGAAGACAGTACATGCCTTAGACCAGTGGTTCTCAACCTTTATGAGACTGCGGCCCAGTAAGTTCTTTTAATATAAGACGAGGGCCCAGTCCCAACAAATTTACTCGTAAATACCTTTCCAGTTTTGTTAAAGTTCATGCATTAAGCTAAC